GTTTGCTAACTTCATTAACCCACATGGCTGATCTGTTATTGCTTTTACAAAATCAACAAAATGTCAAGAGGCAGAACTTATTCACTGAGAGGCTTATGGCAGATCCTAACAATGTGCATGATTATAACACACTCGTTAGTAGAAAGGCTGTAGGCTATGTAACACTAGATAATGTATCATTATAGAACATTATGTAAAGGCTGTATATTTATATATATATATAACAAAATCATTGATCGGAGGAGATCGGCAAAGAAAACTTTGAAAAAGATAGTAACGTTAGCCCGTAGCCTTTATTGCCTTCATAATTCACTTTCCCAAAGAGACCCACAATACGGGTTTCTGTCAGAATCAGTGAAGGAGCACAGGAGGAGACACCATTGGTTGTCTTCTGTTCTTTGGACACAAGCGTTGCCTGTCTCTTCATATCACTTGTCAGATTGCATTGATGCTCTGTTGGATGCTGGATACACTGCAGAAACTATGTCGGCTATCGTAGCCAACTCTCTTTCTTTTGTCTCCCGAGTTGGCCCCAAATTATGATCAATTTATACTTCAAATTTACTTTATTATAGGTACGCCATAGCCTATGCGTATCAGAGTACCCTATGCCTGATGCCCACCTCCCCAAAATTGTAACTTCGTGTCACGGTGATGCAGACCCCAAGAACTGTGATTGGTCAGCTTTCAGCCCACGCTATGGTGGCGTAGGCTTGACGCAGAAGTATAAATTGGCCTTCAGCATTGATGTAACTTTGAATTTCTCAACAGAGGTTAGCAACACCTCTAACTCATCTGTCTCGAAGTTCAATGGCCATTTTAAATTTTTCAATGTATGTTTTTATTAAAAATATTTTTTTTACAAAGTTGTTTTGCTCTGTGAGATGAGACAAGTAGAGGTAGCGCTGGTTGCTAGGTAACAGACAAAATTTGATAAGCGATGTTGGATTGAATATTTAGGATTTCATAACCTGAGATAAGATAGGATGAAGTAAGATAAGAAAAGATTCCTAGTTGGTTAGGATTTGCTTCTGTAATACAGAAGTGGGAGAAATCCTACTAAAGACTTAAGATAGGAAGTTTCAGTAATGTGGGCCCTCAGAATCTATGTCACAGCAGACAGAGAACACTGAATAAAAAGCTGAAAGTGACGCTCTGCCTGGTCCTGATCCAGCCCTGTGCAGAGAAACAGGCCAGCTGCTGCCTAACCAATCAAATGGGCTAAACTATGATACTGTAAATCCTGTTTGGGTTATATGAAACGGAAGAACATTGTGCTGCAGATGCAAAAGGACAACCATTCCTATTCCCTAAATCTACAGCAGGATTTAACTGCATGGTTGCAGGAGCTAAACAGACAGAGTGTGAAGAAGTGCTCGATGCTGCCAGATCTCCTGTAAGTGGAATAGAATAAAATACGGCTGCCTCCCCTCCTCTCCCAGTGGAGCGCTGAAGGAGCCAGGCTGATCCCCAACCGAGTGTTAACTCAGGATAACTGTCCACAGCTGACAAATAGCAATACAAAAAACAGCCCAAAACACAAGTTGATGACTTATTAAGACCTTTAGTATTATATTCCAGTCTTAAAATATATTGTATTGGAGTGAGAAAATATTATAAAATAGTCTTTCTTTAACATGAGGATTGGGGTTGTGTTTAAAGTGTCGGTTCAACCTACTGAAAAGAAAAGGTTTTCACGCAGATAGTTTGGTTTTTATTTCTCCAGGTATTGACATATCTGTCTCTGAAATCTCTGCTATCATAGGAATGATTGATTTGGTAGAAAGTATCTTTTATTGTGAGGTCTTTTATTCAGAGTAAGGCACACTCTGTTTCTGGAAAGGCGTGTTCCTGTTGATTTCTGTAATGCCTGCACACTCTGACAGATCGGTTGTTCAGGTCATTTTGGTCACAAGACCGAGTGTTGGGTTTGTAGTAGGCTGATCCAAAGATGGACACAGAACCCAACAGACCACAAGGTCGAAGTTGAAAGTTTTTATTCACAACACTGTGTAGAAGAATCCAAGGCAAGTCAAATTGGGGTGAGCGGGTTAAGGGCAGATGAGCAAGAATCCGTGGAGACGTAGCAGCCATTACAAGTGGTCTGGTTAGGAAGAGCGAGGCAGGAATCCTGAGGCACAAAAGATACCCAACGAGGATTACTTAAGACTACGATTAACTTGAGAAAACTACTTGAATCACTAGAATCACTTGGTACAGAGCTGGCTGAGGTACTCTTACCACTGGTGAGGAGGAATAGTCTGGCGGTGAGCTTCAGGAATCACCGGTTTGGTACATTTCCGGTTTGAACGACATGTTTCCTTTCAACGTTGTGCAAAGTGAGTTGGAATGACCACTTATTCAGCGCTCGAGTCTTTTAATGTGGAAACGCCGACACACAGCCGAGCTGAAAGAAAAACGCTAACATTTTCCTACACGCCATAACAACACATCAAATCAACACATTATTATAATCCACACCTGTTCATTTAGGCATTCACGCTGTCTGCGATTTTTATGTCTTCCTGCATGTGACAGCTGCCTCTGTGCTACTAAGACTGTCCAATGTAGGGCTGCAGCTAACGATGATTTTAGTATTCGAAGTTTCTAACCAGACCCAACGGGCTTGAGGTAGGCCTGCACAGTATGAGGAAAAATATTGCCATAAGGTATTGAGTGAAAATATATTGAGATGACATATCACTTGTGATAAATAAACATATATTGAAGTGTGCATATTAACTGCCTTAATTTAATATTTTAAATCCAGCTAAATGTTGTTTCTAGAGCAGCAACATTAATGTTTACAACAGCAAAGTAATTCAATAACTTTATCTGACATCACGAGTAGTGAGTGACATCAGTCTGTATCAGTCCCTCCTCCTCTCTCGCTGGCTGCAGGTAACGTTACCAGGTAGAAGGAGGAGCGTCTGGTTTGTCTCAGCCAGCAGCTCAGTTTTTAAGGCTACAGACCAGTCTGTGCTCCACACAGACAGCTTTCTATTCAGCTTGTTTTTAACATTTGGCTAATGCCAAGCTAGCGTTAGCTGTGCTTGTATAAAACATACAGGATGAGATACTGAGGACAGAGATGATTAAATGAACCATTTCTACATGTTTAACGTTACCTTACAGACAGGTGGATTGATAAAGTATTGTCTTGTTACTTGCAAAGGTTTTATTGCACGTACTTACAGTAACGAGCGTAGCTGTTATCAACTAACGTTACAGTAGTTTGGAGCTAAGTTAACCCTCACCGTAACGTTATTCCACCGGTGCAGCCTCTCGCTCTGCTGCTGCTGTGTGTGTGTGTGTGTGTGTGTGTGTGTGTGTGTAGGAGCCCACAGAGAGCAGGCAGACTGCAGCCTGATGATTTTCTTATCCATTGTGTTTCAAATTAAATCACATTTGACGCTCGAGACATAACGTTACATCAAAGCCCGCAAGTCTTGATAGCAGTATCGATAAGCTTGAACCTTATTGATTTTCGGGTTTTGAGAAATTTTTTCGATCCCCATCCCTACTCATGACTGTGAGATTACAACTCACGGCCCAAAAAGGAGAACAACAAACGCATGTGTGGGCATTTTCAGCCGAGGACTGCAGCTTACTTTGACTAACGTTAGTCTTTAACTTAACAATCAATCATGATATCAGTTAAATGCTAAAGTTGCTGTTACTGTTACATTGTCTATGGTCCGCTGGCAGAACACCGGATGCTTTGATCAGGTGCTGTCGTGCTGTTGCCCCGGTGATATAAAGCCCTAGTCCAATGTTACAAGATGCTCTTGGTTGGTAAAATATGAGGCTCTGCTGCCAGTAGAGTTGTCCATGTCTGTGATTGGTCATCTGCTGCTAACACCGCCTCTTTTATGTGAATGCGCTCATGGCTGGATTGGGAAACCCTGGGTTGACTTACCAAGTTGATAAGCAGCTTCGTATGACCGCTTGTCCTGAACGCGATTACTAGGGTTAGTGAAGCTAGATAACGAAAAGATATCCTGCGTATGTTGAGCGTGCTTCGTGGTAGAGGAGTATTTAAGCTGGATGATTAACAACAGGTGTGCAGCTCCGCCAGGTGCCCAGAATGAGATCACTCACACACACACACACCAGAGGGAACGGAGGAAGGGAGGCTGCATTTTCAGGACCCCCGCAGTCCTGGGACCTCATTTCTAGGACCTTAGTTTTTTGCGACAGTGCCACCTTGTGAATTGGTGGTAGTCATGCACAGCAACACAAAGGATGTTAACCCTGTCTGCTAGCATGCATACGATCACGGACTTAGGTAAAGGCACACACCCCTGTGATGGCTAGGGTAAGGGTAATGGGTTTTTAGAGGGCTGTCAACGCCTTTAAGAGTAACATAGTTTGCTAGCTAGCTGACAGTGTCAAGGAAAACTAGGCTCCTACAAATGCAGTTCCGGTCCTAGGAGTGCGGTCCTGAAAATGCAGCCTCCGGTACTGCAGCGACATACTACTCACAGCACTGGCTGTGACAGTAAGAAGGATGAAAGTGTATGTTGTCCTTTCCCAACAGTTGCAACAAAACTAACAGGGAACTGGGTTAGATGTCAATCAAGTTACTACTGTACACACCTACACAGTCCTGAGAAGAGGTCTTAAGTAAAAACCCCTGTGGTGGGGCATTATGGGTGTGTAGAGCCTCAATAACTTTACTGTATAAGGCAACAGAAATGTTCTCAAAACCTGGGAAGTAAAACCAAAACTATTGTGCAACTCAGTGCTTTGGTTACAAGCACTGTGTAACAGTCAAATAACTGTCAACCTTATCAAACTGTTAACTCTGACTGAGAACAAGCCTGAGTTAATTTACAGCCACAGAGCTAACTTTTCAGCTAACTCTCTCTATGTTTCTACCGTTACTGTGTTTATTTCATGACAGTAAGTAAGCTGGAAATCTGTGATTCAGTTAGAAAACCTGTATGTGGAATCCTATTACTTGCTAACGTGTTGTTTTTGTGTCTCTATTCAAACAGGTTGCCTTTTTGAGAGCGAGCTGTGCTCACCATACGAGATCTGTGTCAACGGTAAGATGCCCGGCACACACACACAAACACACATTTTAAAAGCTGTTGCGACCAATTATATTTACAAGTATTAAAGCCTTCATATACAAAAACAAAATTAGGAGCGTTACAGGACAGATCATGAGAGACATTATGATCATATAACATCTCTTGGTAACATGTCTCAGGCAGCAGTGGCAATGAAACCAACAATACAGTTATTTTTATAAGACAGCCCTCACATAAGAGAAACTCTTTAAGGCTATTTACACATATTTTAAAAGCGGTAGTCCAAGGGGTTTATGTGTGCCGTGCAAAATGTTCAAATTAATAGCATAAAGGGTCCCCATAGGAAACAGAGTTAGTCGTTCCTTATTGCAATAAGTATTTACACAATTTGTAAGTGTGCCGCTGAAGTCTGGGGATCTCCTCCCGCTATCTGAGCTGGATCTTGTAGTTGTTGTTTGTAGACCCGGCCACCGCACAAGGCTTTTTTGAAGGCCGATCAAAGTGTTGTCACCAGGTACATGAACAAAAGTGCACAAAACATATTGAATCATTCAAACATTTGCTAAATCAGCATGTGTAGGAGTGAGCAGGAATTAGCAGAAACATGAATGCGCAGAAAATCTGAATTGCAGCATTGCTTCTATATTCATACTAGCCTCTTTAGAATTGACTGCTGAGTTTTGTAATTACACACTCACAACCACATGTAAATATGAACCCACTCTCGCTCTTCCCTTGCGGCCTCTCTGGCAACAAGAGTAAGGATACCCCTGCTGAGAATCAACCCAGAATCAAGAAAGCTCAAAACATGAGAGTCGTTCACTGGAAAAAAATCTGCATATATTTTTGAGTCTTGGAAACACTTTTATGTTTGACTCCACTGGGTCAGGTGGATGATAACCGCGTTAACTCTCCAGAGTTCATGCTGTTCTAAGCTAAGCTTTTGTTTTCTGTATCTGCCGATCACCAACATTCATCGGTTTACTGGGAAGCTCTCGGCTGTGAAGGGCAGGCTTCACTTATCAACATCTCCGCAGGATTTAAAGCAAAGACATAGAGCCAACAGAGATAACCGGATACTATAATCTGTTGTATAATCTCATTAAGCATGTGAATGGTCTGTTAGGAGGTACAGGTGGCCGTGCTGTCGGGTACACAGCTGACTGTCCGTGTTTCTGACCTGCTTTCTGATGTGTGTTTCAGGCAGTGTGTGTCTGTCGGTGCGGTGTCCTTTTGTGCCCCATAATCTAATTCTGACAGAACAGGTGGGGATGAAAAAACTAAATACGTATCTAGTTAAATGACAAAATCATTATGTCCTTGATGAATTTTATTTTTAGCCGAGTTCAGGCGGGCCCTCCGTCTGTGTTGTGACTGCCTCAGGTGACCTTGTTTTGCTTTGATGGGGCTTTCATTTGGATAGCTGGTCTTATATATGTGTGTGTATAAATATATGTATATATTTTTTGGAATCAGGATATTTTAAAAGTGGCTGTTTCGGGAACAAAAAATAATTCTAATTTCAGTAAAATATTTGGTACAGTTTACCAGAAATATATTCCTGGTCATGTGGAGCATTTAGATCATCATATAGGACAGAGGGGGCAGGACCACATGAAGAGGTCACCAGTAAAATCAAAGATGATCTAAGATGATTAACAGAAATGATGCCAAAACTTAATTCTAAATAACTATTGTCAGACAGCATCTAAACAGCGGGAGAGGAATTTCACCTATTTTGCAGATTTCAGTGGATCACACAGTTTTGTGGAGTGTGTCTTTTTGACCTGACTGACTTCGGGCAGTAAATACAATTTTATTGCTTTGCCTCTGTTCTTTCACAGGTCATTAAAACCCCTCAGTTTGATGGTTGTTCAGTAGCTGTGGTGCTGTGTTTCCTCAGCTGATGTTCCAGCTGTGATGAAGGACTCTGTCCAGCCTTTGAGTGAATATTTCCGGTCACTGGTGACCTTATGTGTTTCTGCAACAGGGCGTGCTCCGACTCTGTTGTTCTGTCTTTAACTTCCTGTCTACACCAGAAGTGGGAATGAGTCACGTTGTGTGGATTGGTATCTGCTGCTTGTGATTGCCACGTGCTTACATTTATACCAAATATAGGATAAGTTTTATAAAAAAAAACAGAACAGCACAAAGGTCTGCCAGAGCTGGAAGAAAAAAGGCATGATTTAATTTTGTTGCAGTTTGACCAATATCCACCGCTATTTATGTGGAAGCACTAATTGGATTAGTCTTGCCACACAGCTCTGGGATCTGGTAATCATGTTACTGATATAACTATCACAGTGACTGGTCAGAATGTACATACACACATTCATTCACATCCATCAATCTTATTTAAGTCTTGCTGGGCAGCTGTGGGTTAGAGGTAGAGCTGGTAGTCCACTAATCCGAAGGTTGGTGGTTCGATCCCCCCCCTCCTCCAGGCTGCATGTTGAAATGTCCTTGGGCAAGATACTGAACTCCAAATTGCTCCTGGTGACTGTGCGTGGAGGTTTTAGGTTCTCTTTCTGATGAGCAGTACAGTTCATTTACCATTTACTAAGACAAAAATCTCATAAAATCTAACTGCTAATGACTGTCCATTACAACATTGGCAATGTTGTGTTTTGGTTACTTGTCAGCTCAGCTACACTTTTCAGTTTCCGAGAGCCCAAAAAGCTCCACTCGGCTGAGTCAGGTGAGGTGAGGCTGCGCTGACAGATGGATCTCACAATGGAACAGCTACGGTGGCTGCACCTTCAGCCATTGTTGTTGCTCACCGTGTGCCTGACCTGCTTCAATAGCTGCTGTCAAACTGGCCCTCGCAGACAATGCCGGCCTGTTGTGCTGGTGATTGGCAGCTCAGGCTTTATCAGGCCACACAGCAGCTCTGATTGCCTGAGTGGACTATAATCTCTTGGCAGAAAAATACAATAGGGAAGGTTGGTATTGTTCAGCTTAAGACATTCTGTGTCTTTCTACCTAAATCCAACAACAAGGGGAGTGTATGACAACTAAAAAAATCTCAATACCCTGAGGAAACAAGGTGTTTTTTGCCTTGACATTGAAAGCCCTTATACTCGACAGCTGGCTCCAGCCCCACCGCAATCCTGTACACGGGATAAGCAGTTGGCGATGATTGATGAGTGAGTGACATAACTTATTGGCACATTTTTAGTGAGTTAAACAGTCTTTCACAAAGTAATTTAACAATGCACATCAGATCAGTCTATACAAATGACTTCTTTCACCCAACACAGTTTTTGGCAAGAGAGAAAAATAAATAAAACCACCGTAATAATCAGCAGCAGTAGTCTCCCTTCTAATATTTTGAATTTTCATTTACCTTTGCCAACTGCATGGATGAAATTATAACTACACATGCATGCAGTAGACACAGCGTGTGAGCAAAAAGGGAATTGATGGGTGACAGTTTCAACCTCACGTCATGTCATTGTCTTGTCATGCTTGTGCAGTTTCTAGAACTAGAAAACATATTTGGGCATTCACTGTGTGTGTGTGTGTGTGGGGGGTCTATTGCGGTCTATTGTCAGCCTGTGAGAAAACAGAGCTCACTCTCCTTCTTTTGGTCGTGTTGAAATATTTATCATATTTATCATCAGGTGTTACTAAGCCATATATATCAACATGTTGTATATCCCAATACTGTACAGGGTGCCTCCATTCTTCCAGTCTCATTTCCACCATGGTGCCATTTCATAACCACCCCACCCCGCTTCCACCCTTTAGCACCCCCAAAAAAAGGGCTTTTGGCTAACCTCCTTAAATAAATGTAATAACATAATGATTCTTGTCCTTAGAAAAACTTACCTTCGGCAAAGAAATGAAAAAGTTTTAGGATTGATGAAATAGTCCAGCCCCAACCCACTCCTGTGAATTTAAAGCGTATCACCCCAACATGTCTTGGTACAAAAGGAGAAAAGGCAGGCCAGCAGCGTGGAAAGACGCTGCTTGATCACTGACTTGACATTTTCATTGTTACTGTCTCAGCAGACGAAGCGGTGCTGGATTTAGAGCTGGCGCATTGAACGCCTACAACCGGCGGGTTTATTATACTGCAAAAAATGCTCCTCATCATAAAATGTGGTGAGTTTTCAAATGCTATGCTTTATAAAAAGAGGTTGAGTCATTAACTACAGTTTCACCTGTTGTATTGATAATATTGTAATATCAGATCACTTCATTAGTATGGTACAGATGAGTCTACTTGATTAAATCAGATGTAAGAATTTAATAAATAACTGTCTGTTCAGATCGACATTTTTTGCAGTGTAGGAAACTGCTGACATTTTTAGCCCCACCATGCAGCTGAGCCTGGCCATAGAGATAAGGATGGCTGTCTGTCAATTATACTTAAAGGCAGTGGCTCCCACTGAAAATTTTCCTAGGGGTGGACAGATGGGGACACTGGAAATCCTGGGGTGGCACACTAAAACCAAAAGCTGTATCTGAATTTCAGGAATTGTATTATGCAGTGAATAGACAAGTTGAAAACTACATAAAAATATGAGTTAAGGAATCACAGACTTTGGTTTCTTATTTTACAGTTGATGTTACTAATTGTCTAATGTACATAGACTAAAACCAGTTCAGTTAACATTTTGAGTTCCATAAAATGCTGTTTTAATAGAGCAACTAGTTGTTCTTCGTATAGGCTAGTTGGGTTAGGGTTAATGGGACCAAGCCTACTCAAAATTACAAAATTTACAGACATCATGGAGCATAAATTCTTTTTTGTTTCATATTAGACTATTTAATAACAATTTAATTAAAATGTACAATATGTGTCTGTATAGAGCTGCTTAAGTATTTGGTTTACTGATGTACAGTTCAAAGCCCCCCCCCCCCCCCCCCCCCCCCACACACACACACGGCGCCACTGCTCTATGGTTCTGATCTTTTTTCATTTTTTAACCAGCCTATTAACAAACTATTATGATATTTTATCATCGAGTAATCTAATAATTTTGTCAATAAAAAAATAATTATTT